ATTTTTTCTCTTAAATATTGTACAAAACAGTGCATCAGGAAATAAACAAGAGTTAGTACAATATGAGTTATTTTTTTCCTCTGACAAAGCTCTTGTGGAAAAGTTATAAATCAGGCTTAAACTTGGAAAAGACATCCAAATATTATTTCCCAATAAAATAACAAAATTATACCAAAATTTAACAAAACTATGCTAGAATTAACCGATAACACATATGTACAATCTGCATGTTCTAAAGTCTTAAATCCTGTATCCACCCTATTTTAAAAGACATAATCCACATGTTGACCAATAAAAACAATGCATATTATTCAAATCTGCCTTCCTACAACATGGTTGGCCAGAAGTGAATGACAATCAGTTTCCCCTCTATCAATGCACCACCAAACTAGTGAACAGTAAACATAATAAATCAGAATTTTCTAAAATAGACAACACACTCTCTTTAACACTATTTAGATTACATAGCCTGAATTCAGTCTGCAAGACAAATCAGAACAATATATTTTTCTCACAGCTCAAGCATTGGGGGAGGACAAATGTGGTGGATGATGATGATTCCTTTTTTTCTTTCTTTCTTGTTTCCCTGTCAGTTCTTCTTTTGTCCTGTCTTCCCTGTATTTATACTGTGGTCTCATTCTATTGATGCTAGCTGAAAACCTCCACAGGAACGGCCAGTCACTGTTCAATGTTTATTTTTGTATCATGGAAATATGATTTGCCATGAAGTTAATCAGCCAGAGTAAATAATTAGGAACAGCCTTTGATCATCAGTATCACCATGAGTTTACTTTCCTCTTAGTCCACAGACCACTAAGTAAAAACATAAATACCTAAGAAAAGAACGCCATTTGTTCTACACTTTCTGAAGTTCAGATTTTGATGGGAAAAGCAAACATAATAGAATGCTGTTATACCCCCATCATAACAATATTAAGATGCTGATTTTTTACAAATTGAAATCCGTACTATCCTTTTGTTCAGGGATATATGATGAATAATTTGTACATAAAATGCAGATGGGTTAATTTAAGCATTCAAAGCCTTTCTTAATTTTTCAGTTTGACAACATCACAATATTGAATCAAACTCTAAAGAAAACACAATTCTTTTCCTTTAAAATGAAAAGAAAAATGTTCTTTATTGGATGTTTGATTTTTGCAGATGTTTCATGTAGATAGCACCTGAAGATTCTTAAATTAGGAAAAAAATCTTTCAGCAGATATGCAGTTAAATGTTATTATTTCTGTCCTTTCCATACAATGTATGTATATTAATCACTTAATACAATGTAAACCATACATATTGTGATAAAACAATTGTGATTTCAGTGATAAATAGCAAAG